TCTCTAACCCTCATTTTCTATGATTTTAAGAAAGTGAATGATCATCTCTAGAAAGTGGAAGGAGGAAAAAAATTCAGAGGGATTAAATCTATTATTAGGAAAGAGAAAAAAAAAACAAAATCACAAAGGTCATAAGATAGAAGACAGGCTGGCTCCTTTCCATAGGGCTGTCTTTCTGGAAGAGCTAGAGCCAAATTAAGACCAAGTCCACTACAATGGTTTTGCACGAAAATAATATCCAGATGTGTGCAGTGCTCAGAACACAGAGCTTTGCTCTTTACTTCGCTTGCAAATCGCACCATCTGCTTGTACATTTCTAGGTTCACAATAGTCACAGGCAAATACTTTTTGACACTTACCTTGAAAAGGGACAATGAGTCTGGGGTTCACCCTGGAGTGCCCAGCTGCCAGGAGCCAGAGGTGGCTGGTCCACAGGGTGAAAGCAAAGACTGCTGGGGAGCTGGCACCCATCTCTTGCACTCAGAGAAGCGGAGTACAGAAGAAACCCTTTGCTAGGCTTGCACTCGTATGCAGTATTTGAATAAAGTGGAGGGGTGGGGCTGAGGAGGAGGAGCAACAGCAGTTTAACACAGAGTGATGGAGAATTAAATACAGCCCTGGGAGCTGAGACATAGGGAGTAGTTACTGTCTCTGCAGATTCAGTGGCCAGAGCCAGGTGAACAATGGACTCTTAACCCCAGCTGCGGACATGAGAGATCTCCTGTAACTGAGACAAGAAAGAGGACATTTCTCAGTGCTTTAGGACACCTGACAGCCCTGTGCCTGCTTCTCCAGGACCATGGATCCAAGGCATTTAAAACTTGGGTGTATGTTTAGATAGATGTGATGTCTTTTATTAGACCAACTAAATAGCTGGAAAAATTCTTTGCAAGCTTTTGGGCACGAACAGATGTGATATCTTTTATTAGAGCAACTAAATAGTTGGGAAAATTGGTCTTTGCAAGCTTTGGACACCAACACACAGTTGTTTGTGCCCAAAAGCATGCAAAGAACAATTTTTTTCCAGCTATTTAGTTGGTCTAATAAAAGATATTGTATCTACCCAAAGAACCTTATTTGCCTATGTCCTTAGACCAACACGGCTACAACCAACAATGCCGGAGTATGTTTAGGGTTCTCTTTCTTTGCCCTATCGCCCTTGAAGTTATGTCAAACTTTTCTCTGAAGGTGAGCACTAGAAAGTACACTTAATGAAAGCTGAGGATCTAATGCATTTGCCTGACTTTGGGGTCTGGCCCTTTAAGAAAAAGCTCCAAATTTGGTAAGATTTACAATTAAATTGCAAATTAAAATTTAAAATTATGTTAAAATTAAATTAATTGAAAATTAAAATTGGTGATGCTCTATGTGGGGGAGGCAGAAGTTGCTGGGCTGGGGCTCAGAGATCCTGGGTTCTACTCCTGCCTTGGTCACTGGTTGGATGGGTCACTTCACTTCTCCATGCCTCAGCTTGCCCAGTCTGGAAAGTGGGGCCAGTGATGCCAATCTTTTTAATAAAAGACTTGGTGATGGACTCACTGTGAGAGCTGGGTACTGTTGTCTATGCCAGTGGTTCTCAACCGTTTTTTGTACCAGGACCCATTTGTGAACACTGATGGCCAGTCCTGACCCACTGCCCCCAGGCCCCAGCCCCCCAGTCTGTAGGGTG